AGGATCGCTTGAGCCCAGGAGTTTGAGGTTGCTGTGAGCTAGGATGACGCCACGGTACTCTAGCCTGGGCAACATAGTGAGACTCTGTCTCAAAAAAAAAAAGGAGTCTCAGGACTAAGAGCCTCCCAGTCCATGTGATATTAACTTGAAGTACAAAATGGCAAAATGAATGGACGCCCCCCGAACTGGGAGAGAAAATGGGGGGCAGAGAAACTATTTGAGAATAGTGACATGTATCCTGGATGGCTCAAGCAGAGGAATTTCCCATCATTATGGTGGTCTTCATGCCTGTAATCCCAGCACTTTGGGAGGCCAAGGAGGGAGGATTGCTTGGGGCCAGGAGTTCAAGATTAACCTGCACAACACAGGGAGACCCCATCTCTACAAAAAATTTTAAAAAGTAGCCAGGCATGGTGGTGCGTGCCTGTAGTCCTGGCTACTTGAAATGCTGAGATGGGAGGATCACTTGAACCCAGAAGTTGCAGGTTGCAGTAAGCTATGATCACACTACTGCACTCCTGCCTGAGCAACAGAGTGAAACCTTGTCTCTGAAAAAATAAAATAAAATAAAAGTCAGGCTCAAAAACCATTTAAAAAGTATTTTGCAAGGAGAAGGGTCAGAGTCATGCTAACAGGAGAAATAAATGTTACTCCCTTAATCCAAACACTATGCTGTTGGCAAGAAATTTAATTCTTGATATGAGAAGATGTTTGCCCTCAGTTAATTGAGGTGACCATGCAATCATAGCCCTTATGTTTGCAGAGCAAAACTACAATTGAAGCTCCCACTTATGAGATAATAACTCTCCCTCTTTCAAATCCATGCCCCTAGAAGCTTCCACTAACATCTTTTGGACCAATGAAGAGGCCAGAATTTGCAACAAGTAGGGAACCAGGGCTGGGACCCCTCCCATGGGGGTCTTTTGGGCAGGGGCAGGGACCGCTAAGGGGAAGTGGCATTGAAGGGAATGCTCTGGGTAGCCCCTGGAGGCCTTGCCCCCTCCCCCTGCCTCACTGGCAAGAAGGGACAAGTTAACCAAACAGCATCCCAGCTTTCAATCCTCCTGGAAACCATCAGTCAAGAACAGCTTCAACCCCTTGGAGGTGAGCACAGAGCAGTCAGGGATGGCGTGCAGGAATGAAGGGGAGTCCAGGCTGGGCCAAGTTCCCCCTTGTCATCTGGGGTACATATCCCTATCAGTGGTCCTCAAGCCAGGATCACGAGGCTTGTTAAAACACAGATTACTGGGCTTGAGTCCCAAAGTCTGTACTTCAATAGGTCCGAGATGTGCAGATGTGCAAACAAATTCCCAGATGATGCTGGTGCTACTAGCCAGGGACCACATTTGGAGAACAATAGAAATATACATCAGATGATTACTGGCCTATAGACCACCCTAAGGCTCAGAGATCATACGTCTAATCTATCTGATCTCTGCACACCCCACTTCCTCAGTCCCCATGGAGAGTTTTGTTTATTTTATTTTATTTTATTTTATTTTTGAGACAGAGTCTCACTTCGTTGCCTGGGCTAGAGTGAGCACTGTGGTGTCATCCTAGCTCACAGCAACCTCAAACTCCTGGGCTCAAGCGATCCTCCTGCCTCAGCCTCCCAGAGTGCTAGGATTACAGGTGCGAGCCACTGTGCCCAGCCCCCATGAAGAGTTAAGAGTTAAGAAGAGTTAAGAGTTAACTCCTGCTCTGGCCAAAATGGAGCTCATGGTTACATAGAAACATCTATATAGGAATATGGCCATTTAGAATGAGGGTAACCCAAGAAATTCCCTTACCCCAAACACACAAACTCACCCAAACCAGAAAAAGTGTTCTTCCTCTGCCCTGTCTCTGTAGAGAGTCCACTTCAGGAGGGCAGGGGCTGGGCCTGGCCCAGGACACCTCCCACCCCTGTAATTGTGGGAACCTTCCAGGCCAAGTTCAAATGCTCCCTTCTCCCTGAAGCCTTCTGTGGCTCCCCCTTTGCAGGATGAATTGATGGCTCCCTCCTGCTAATGGTCTCACAGTGTCCCTGCTATAAGTACTGTGTGTGAAAATCTTCTGCTGCCTCATACTGGGTACTGTCTTGGGGCAAGGACCACATCTTCATGTCCTGCAGGACCTAGCACAAACGAGATGCTCGGAGGGTTTCACTTTAAAAATCCAGTGAGGAGCCAGGCATGGTGGCGCATGACTACAGTTTCAGCAACTTGGGGGGCTGAGGTGGAAGGAACATTTAAGGCCAGGAGCCCAAGGCCAGCCCAGGCAACATAGTCTCAAAAAAAAAAAAAAAGAAAAATCTAGCAAGGGATAAAACAAACTTTACAGTGGTCTTTTTGTTTTGTTTTGTTTTGTTTGAGACAGTCTCACTCTATTGTCTTGTCTAGAGTACAGTGGTGTCATCATAGCTCACTGCAACCTCCAACTCCTGGGCTCAAGGGATCCTCCTGCCTCAGCCTCCCGAGCAGCTAGGACTACAGGGATGTACCACCACGCCCAGCTAGTTTTTCTATTTTTTGTAGAGACAGGTCTCACTCTTGCTCAGGTTGGTCTCAAACTCCTGGCCTCAAGCGATCCTCCTGCTTTCGCCTCCCAAAGTGCTAGGATTACAGGCGTGAGCTATGATTGTGCCACTGCACTCTAGCCCAGGCAATAAAGTGAGACCTTGTCTCAAAAAAAAAAAAAAAAAAGATTTTAGGGTTTTCTTTTCTTTTTTCTTAGAGACAGGGTCTGACTACATTGTCCATGCTGGGTTATAAACTCCTGGGCCCCAGTGGTCTTCCCATGTCAGCCTCTGAAATAGCTGGGACTATAGACAAGAGCCACTGCACTTGGCTCTGGGTTTTTCTTTCTTGGTTAGGAAACCAATAAATGAAGGGAGAACAAAGCATATGATCATCTGTATAGGTCTGATGAAACTCAGCATCCATTCCC